TCCGTTTCTTTGCGCTGCAGAAACTGAGCCCTACAGAGTCCCATCAGAAGTGGCCTTGCGTCCTGTGCAGGCCCGTAGCCAGGATTTTGTTTCGGGGGGGCGAGTTTGGTTCAGGGGGCTGATTCTGAGTGAAAGAGGGTCTAGCCTAGCAAACCTTTTGTATCATTACCCGAATACCCCCATGCATATGGGATATATTGAGCATGGTGATCAGATCATGATATGGATAAACATAACAGTTTAAGTAATGTACCAGTAAGGCCTTCTCGCGGACCACCATCAGAATTTCAGAGGTGGGCTGAAGTCCCCAAGCGCCCCCCCCCCCCCCCCCCCCCCCCCCCCCCCCCCGGCTATATGCCTGCCTCCATGGGCCTCTGTTTCAGTAATACAGAGAAATGGGGAAAAGAAGCAGAGAAGACTGCATTCAATGAGGTCGCAGGAATCTAGGAGACAAATATTTAAATTCTTGTTCATAGAACCACATTGGATGACCTTGGGCATATCACACTCTCTCGGTCTTCAAGGAAGGCTATGGAAAAACCCCTGTATCTGGCCAACAAAACCCCACGATAGATTCACTTTAGGATCACCATAAATCAGAAATTAGTTGAGGCTGCATCACAACAAGGTAATAGCCTTAGGCACCACGCTTGAGATTACTTTTTCAGGGATGAGTTTAGATAGCTAACCTAGAACTTTCAGGAATGTTTCCTTTGTAAACTCTAACAAAATACTTATGTATTCTGGATTAGTATTTAAGTGACTTTTGTAATTTAAAAAGCCACTAGATGTCTCTCTTGATGCATGTTTTTTGTTGCAGAATAATTCTTTTGTACTTACAGCAGCTATATGTAATTTGGTGTCCTCCAGGCAGACCTTGTTTCCAATATGTTCTTGTGTTTGGATTGCAGTCAAACACAGTTTATGTATTTTTTTTGGGTTCTTTTAAATGAGCAGACATTTTAGAACGGCAAAGCCTGGAGGTAGGAAACTTTTCATAAAAGTGGGTTTTGTTTCCACAGATGTTGTACTGATGCACCTCTCATGCCTTGTACTTAGTTGGCAACCATGGGCAACTCTTAAAAATTAGGCCACTTGGACAGGTGTCAAAGAAATAAATGGGAAACTTCATCCTCCAGGTTGTTTAATGATGGGGAAGTGTCATGGTGTTTGGATGATCATCCCAATAATGCTTTAATTCCATAGATAAGCATCACACATGATTATATATAATACAAGTGTGCCTTACTTTAAGGCACTTATTTAAAATGCCTTTTACAGTTAAACATTTTGTTGTTGTTTATTTGTTCAGTCGCTTCTGATTCTTCGTGACCTCATGGAAAAGCCCACACCAGAGCTCCCTGTCGGCCGTGGCCACCCCCAGCTCCTTCTAGTATGAACTGGTTTGATCTTCTTGTGGTCCAAGGCTCTCTCAGTTAAACACCACAGTTAAAAAGCTTCTGTCTTCCTTTGCTCAGCCTTCCTTATGGTCCAGCTGTCACTTCCATAGGTTACTATGGGGAATACCATTGCTTTAACTATGTGGATCTTCGTTGCCAGTGTGATGTCTCTACACTATTTTATTGAGATTGGTCATTGTGCTCCTCCCAAGAAATAAACGTCTTCTGATTTCCTGGCTGCAGTCTGTGTCTGCAGTAATCTTTGCGCCTAGAAATATAAAGTCTGTCATTGCCACCATGTTTTCTCCCTCTATTTGCCAGTTTTCAATCAGCTATTTTGTTATCTATGATCAATCTGGGGTTTTTTTTGTAAACATGTTTAGAGGCTTTTATATGTACTGGGACGTGAGGAAAAAGCTTTAAAATAATATTGATTTTCCTTCAGTTATTTGGAACCTAACCCACCGTAATAGTGACATGTGGGAATATCTTACCAAATTCAACTTAACTGACATAATTTCATATTGATTTCTAGTAAATGTTTTACTTTTGTTTCTTTGTCCCCAAGATAACATTTATTTAAAAATAATTCGTGACCAAAACTTTTGAAACCAATATTATCCTTTAGATCTCGCTCTTGCCACTATGAAACTTAAGCTGACACACTTATAGGCATGTTGTGTACCACTGAGAGCTGTGTTGAGTTTCTACTTAGCTGCCTCAATAGCATATACTAAAACTACTTTTTCTGGTGCAATAAAATACACTATTTTTGCTCCCTACCCCAAATTATCTTTAACAATGTGCCTTTGAAGATTTTATATGTAGAGTTAGACATTTTCAGAAATGAAAAATGTATGAATATAAGCTTTTTATTAGCATCCTTGTTCTCCATACTGTGATGCAGGAGTGCCTATTAAACTTTCAAGTGAATCTCGCTAAACCCATAATGGCTAGAAAGATTTAATCTCCAATGTGGGTGGTATTTTTTTTTTTTACTCATTTTCCTGAAACCTATGGGATTTCAAACTACAAGGGGGTTTCCTGATCCATGTGTATTTAATATGGGTACATTTTATTTCTGAGGTGTACTGTGTGAATGTGACAAACAAAAAAATCCTTGAAAACATCTTCTGCAAGTAACAGAGACCTGAGATTTAATGTTCAGTGGCAACTATAATTCTGTTGTTTAATGTGTAGATTGCAATATAGTAAATTATAATTTAGTGCAAGTTATGTTAAGTAGAAATAACCACCTGCACTTTTGGACAGCTGTAGAAAGATACTTGTTAGTGAACGAGAATGAGGTAAAAAATGGTCTGAACTACTGAACTTCATTACCGACAGGGCTTACCTACAGTTTCCTGAAATATGCTTATCTTCTGTTTACAGCTTTGGGCAGTGAGTAATTATTCTTCCTTTACTGGCATGCTGAATGCAGGTTCCTGT